CGCTCTAACACACGCCGCCGCACCGTCTACCCACTCTTCCGCTCTGGGCTCTTACCGATCGATAATTGCTCTCGATCAGCTGATTCCTGCCGCATTTTCGCAGTATTTTTGCTAGATTCAGCTTGTTAAAGCTGAAATTTTTCGACTTTTGACTCAATGTTCGAAGGTGAGTATCCTTACTGAAAGTATTCCACATTTTGAATGAATTTAGCATGAAATTCCCCTAGGAAACTTGTTTTTCTTTCTGATTTTCGCAATTTCTCCAAACTTTTCCTTAATATCCCCATTTATTTATGATATTGACCGAGTTTTCAAAGCAGTGTCTCAGATGATCTCGCTATTATCGAGAACCATCTCTGACACTTTTTTGAAGCTCGAAGTTGCCTTAATGGTTCGCTTTTCCATGCTAAAATTCTTTTTCTTTCCCAATTTAATGCTAAATTCATGCAAAATGTGATATAATTTCAGTAAGAATACTCACCTTCGAACATTGAAGTCAAAAGTCGAAAAATTTCAGCTTTAACAAGCTGAATCTAGCAAAAATACTGCGAAAATGCGGCAGGAATCAGCTGATCGAGAGCAATTATCGATCGGTAAGAGCCCAGAGCGGAAGAGTGGGTAGACGTGCGGCGGCGTGTGTTAGAGCGCAGAGTGCAGAGTAAGAGACGCAGAGGCAAGGTTTTTGCGGCCATCCACCGAAAGGCAACTATCGGGCCGCTCGCCAGCGTGGCCTTAGGACCGCCCCACCGTCCGCTGAGAACTGCACTGTATGTGTGATTGTACCATGTGCCTTTGAGTGGAAATCCTCTCCGTCCGATTCTAGTTAACCTTAAAAAGTACGGAAATTGCATGAAAAATTGTCTAAGAAGGAAATTTTGAAAAAAAATGTCGAAGAAAAGTTCGCCGAAAACGGAGGAGGGGGTTGCAACATTTGTCGTCTTCCACCCTCTAGACAAACTGCACAGTCATCTGCATGAGCCTTGGTCCTTGCCATGTGTGAGGTGTATGGGTCCACAGTTACAGTAGTGCCACTTTCCCAAGGCACGAGAAGGGTGTAGGATAGTAATGCGCAGGCTCTGTCCCCATACTCAGCTCGTGCTTTCCTTAATGTGCGATGCTTGCGTCCATACTGGGGTATCACAGTGAAACGCGCACTCCCATCAGTAGTAGAAGACAAATAGAAGTGAAAGGGTGCAGACAAGCTGCGCCTTTGGATATGGTTGGGCGTATGAAAGCGGGAGCGCCGGCGGAGGTAGCTTGTCTTTAACATGTCCGGACCGCGTGACACACATGGTGTGTCACGAATTAGACACTACGCAGTGTTATATCAAATTTATTTGGCTATCCTTTCATGTTCCGTTGTTCTCAAACATTCCCAGTTACGGAACATATTGCCTCATAAGCGATTGAAAAACGGGAGGAAATACTGATGAATCGCTGATAAAAATAATTAAATCCGAAGATGCGCTCAGCAGGCGTGCATTGAGGTTAAGGCTTTTTCTCATCAGGGCACAGCATTCGATGAGGATTTTGAGG